CATTGAGTAACATTCTTTAGGTTAATGAGAATAATCTTCAATAGTAACTTTAAGCAAGTAGCTGAGAATATTTGCAAAGCAGGAACAGTTCATAGTTAATAAGCATGATGGGAGTTATCCTCCATATAATTAGTAGATTGAAGCACTGAGTGTATTTGCAAAGCAAGAAACAGTTCATTGTGATTAAGCATGATGGGAGTTGTCCTCCATATAATTAGTAGCTTGAAGCAGTGATGATTCAGTAAGTAAGCATTAGTTCATTATTAAATGATATTGTAGACAAATAGCTGAAAGAAATACTTCAGGTTAATGTGAGTAGTCCTCCAATAGTTCAGAGGTATGGTCCACTTGTAAAGTAAGTGAGTTTCTGTTCTCCAGTATTCCTCTATGGCATGAAGTATACTTTTCTTAGCCCCAAAGGCTAGGACGACATCAGAGCTTGTAGAGCCGGCGTGTCCCAGGAGCCGGCGTGCATACTCGGAAGTAGGACCCACATTGCCAGAGCCTGTGGAGAGGTAAGTCTGGCGGAAGTAGCTCCCAGTATCACCAAGCCCCCTCTCTCTGGCGCGTTCTCCCTAAATACCGTCAGAGCTGCGTCAGAGGGGGGCGGGGTCCGGCTCCGCACAGCGGAGTGCTGAACCCGTAAGTGTTACCGCATGACAACAATTAGAATTATTTACTAAACTGAGAACATTTAGTATCTACAAGGAAATTTCAGCAAATTTTCCTGTTGAATTATTATTGCTAAACACTTGCAATTCCCCAAATTTCTAATTTATTAAGTAACTCTCATAATGCTTTCTGGGTTAGGTATTGTATAAAAAAATATAAATAATATAAAACACCAAGAAAACTATTCTTTTACATTCAGATTTAAGTTATAAAATATTTATAATGCAGGAACATAGTACACTATGCATAAAAATAATGTGAATAAAATATCACGGCGTGCATTTTTTCATATTTTTGTTGTTATATGTATATTTCATTATATGCATTTTTGTTAAAAAAATTCTTTATTTTTTCTGGGCATCAAAGCATTAACATAAGCACTTGCGATGCCACAACAGCATGGTCAAGTTAAACAATAACATACATAATGTGGTAATGCATGGCATGTATAAACTTTGCACATTTTTAAAATGTTGGGTGGAGATAAATGTAAGTTAAACATAACATGTCTAGATTAACGATTAGAAGAGAGGTACTTTGCTATACATACTCATGGACATGGTGAGAAATGATATGGTAAACATGCTTTGTTTACGCTTAAGGTATAATGTGTAGGTTGCGTGATGAGAGATCATAACAGTAGAAAGAAAAGAAAATATAACATTTGCACATCATTTATCATTACTGTTTGCTTGTAAGTCACTGTGGTTCGGAGCTGTGTGTGTTTATGCTTTCTGCTCTCCATGGGTGTCAGTCCTGGTCCCACAGTTTAACAGGCTTAAGCTGAGGGATAATGGGCCTGGCGCTGACTTGTCTGGAGGCTTTGTGTACAGAGTCTCTATTAGCCGACGCCATCTCTTGTGAAACAGTGAGCATTGGCCTGTGTAGTGTTGAAGGCTGCAGCAGCGGTGGGCAGTGTGGAGATATCCTTCCAGCCCCAGGCTGTTATGTAGGCCTGCATCTCTGTGCCACGAACTCTGCAACTACTGGAGCCTGAGTTTCTTCCCCTGGTGGGGGCAATGGAGGGCCTGATGGGCTTTGTCCGCTTGCGGCGATGAAGCCTCCTTGCTTGTGGGCGATGCGTCTGGGTCTTCGCCCTTTTGGCCTCAAGCCCAGGTGGGCTCTGTGGTTTGGGGGTGTGTGGGTCGCCTGTCACTTACCTGCCGTCCATGCAGGTCTCTGAGTGAATTGTGCTGCTCTCATGCGGTCTCTGAGTTGTGCCCAGAAGTGGCTGAATATTGCATTCAGGCACTGTGTGGTGTCTTGTAGGATCAGCGTTTGCTGGAGCTGATTCAGCACGGGCAGCGTGTTATCAGCTGCATCTTGGGGGAGCCTTGTGGACGCCAACACTGCTTTATCTTCGTTTTGTGTCTCGGTGTGCCTGGTGGCTCCGAATACACCGTGCAGACCGGGATGACCCCCGCCGGGGGGGAGGGTGGGAGTAGGAGGTGAGTAGCTTGGAAGTTCTCTCTACAGGGTCGCCAGCGAGGAGAGCGGCCGCCTCTCCCCGACAGGGTCTCGAGTAGGCCTCTTGGTGCGGGTGCCAGTTCCCGGTAAATAGCAGGTTAATGACTGGTATCCGTTGTTTTGCCCGGGTGTCCCCGACTGTGCTGTCACCCTCCAGGTGCTGTGCATGCAGTTTTATTGGGGTCTGTAACGGATCGCCTGGCACCCCGACTGGGTACCTCCGTTGAAAGATGCTCCTAGCGCTTCCTGAGGACTCCAAGCACTGCAGCCGACACCACAATCACCGAACCAGAGAAGCGTATACCTTCTCTCAAGCATTGAATGCTGTAGACAGTTGAATAGGAACCATACGAATAGGTTTACTCTCCTAGCAGTCAAACTGGAACAGCATACAATAAATCCTTCCCCCAATAATGAGACGACACTTCACTTTGAGGGTTAAAACAGGAACTCCCGATTTATTCACACAACCTCCCTTTTAAGACATTCTCCAATGCAAGGGAGGGATCCACAACAATTAGTACCCCAGCCAATAAGGTACCAGTTACCTCCCACACATCTCCTCCCCTTAGTGTGACACATAATCCCATTAGTACAGACACAAATTCCCGGGGATACTGGATGTACCCCTAAACATAGGTATACCCCTTTAAATGTTACATCCCCTGGTAGCCCTGATCTGGGTGAGACACATATCCAAAAATCACCCAGATCGGACCAGGGGTTCAGGAATTATAGAGGGTTAAAGTTTTGACCGACTGCATGGCAAAAGTATCCGAAAATAGTTCCATGTACTTTGGCCCTGCAGTCGGTCACAGAAAAGGGAATGAATCACACGAATTGCCTGGGTTAGAGAGCTTGGGGAGGATTCGTATGAATCCCCCTGTTCGTGAGATCCTTTCTACCGAACGGCGGGCCGTTAGGTAGTTTCTGCACGAATTGCTGGAAGTCTGGAGGTCTCAGCGGTGTTTGCTTAGTCGAGTGTCCGATTTTAGTTCCAGACACTCGACGGCAAAACACCGCTGTTCGGGAGTTTAAGATGGCCGCCGCCACGTGTTCGTTTCCCGAATGGCGGCCACCCAGAGGACAAAACACACATTACACATATTGCCAATTACCCGTTTGCAACATTGTTGCAAACGGTAATTGGAGGCACACTTACTCCAGGGTGGTCTGGTTGTTCGGTAGTTTCACCCAATATAATGAATGGAGTAATTCTACCGAACAATCAGCGAATGCTGCATACACATAACACTGTTTACCGAACACATAATATTAAATACAGCCTGAATGCAAGTTGCTACACAATCTTAAAGGGCATTATTCCTAACAGTCAGAATATGTCCACGGATGGCCCTTAAAGGGCCAGTAGCAGCAATATAAAAATGTCACATGCCCAAATATTGCATACAAAAGTACAAATTCACAAGGGGGCCATAGTCAGATGGCAGGAGGCTGGCAATCAGGCTTCTCCAGTGCATAGTGGCGAGGTTGGTTTCGCCACAGGGTCTTTGCCCCGAATCGTGACATTATACTCAGGAGCTCTGTTTCAGCACGTCCATGCAGCCTGGAAGCCAGGCTCCGCCCCCCATTATATGCATTTTTAAAGGAAAATAAACTGTCATAGAAAGTTTAGTTTTAGTAATAATTTCTATTTATTTATACCACTCCCACTTACAAAGTGTGTTGTGTTTTCTCAATACTCTTGATAGAAACTAAGAATGCCAGGTCAGTGATCTCTCTATATAACCTCTATATCCGAGTACCAGGATTATAGATAGTTTTTGGATGTGTGAAGCCAGGCAAATTATCAGAGCCTTGTGATATATTTAATAAATGTACATTTACCCAGGGGAGGGCTGGCAGCCTTAGGCCTTGGGGCAAATCCAGTCAAGTGGTCCATTGCACCAAGAGGAGAGTAAAGACACCTTTCCCATATGATTGAAAGGGGGGGCAATCACCTAACCATACACACTCACTGACAGGCACACACACACTTGCTGATTTGACACACACTAACAAACACACACTCACTGACACACACACTGTTACAGGCATACTGACACACACACGTGCGCGCATACTGGCTGACACACACACGGATATACTGGCACACACACACACATACAGACATACTGGCACACACACACACTTTAAACTTTTTAAGCCAGTAGACAGGGGCTGAGTAAGGGGACAGGGCTGTAGTAGGGTGTTAGGGGCTGTATGTGGGGTTAGGAAATGTAGGGGGGATAGGGGCTGAAGTAGGTTGATGGCTACAATTTGGGATTTGTGGTGTGGATGATATGGGTTGCAATTGGGGGAGAGGAGCTGTAGTGGGGATGTTATGGGGGCTGTTGTGGGGGGCATGGACTGAGGATGGGACTGAGGAGGGGACTGGAGCTGAGAGGGAGGACAGGAGCTGAGAGGGGGGACAAGAGCTGAGGGAGGTGGCAGGAGCTGAGTGAGGGGAAGGAGCTGAGAGGGGGGACAGGAGCTGAGAGGGGAGACAGGAGCTGAGAAGGGGGAGACAGTGGCTGAGGAGGGGGCGCAGGGGCTGAGGATGGGGACGGCCCTGGATTTAGCCAGTTTGTGAAGAAAGAACAGTTTAAGTTTTACATGCATGAAAGGAAAAGATAATTTCAAAAAGATAAGGAAACTAAGTCTAATAAATATGGTACAAAAATGTATTTAACACAGAAAATTATATGCAGGACTGGTCATTTGTGTGTTTTAGTAGAGACGTACTGGATACCGCACTCACCATATAACCCAGTTGCTCTGAAACCAGGGCTGGCCAGGCCTCCCTTCCAAGATATGCAGAATAAATAATGGTTCAGGCACTCCGGGATAACAAAAATAGAAGCTTTATTGGGGCAAAAGCAGCAACATTTCAACTCTACCGGGACTTTATCAAGGTAGGGTCAAAATGTTGCTGCTTTTGCCCCAATAAAACTGCTATTTTTGTTATCCCGGAGTGCCTGAGCCGTTATTTATTCTGTTTTTGTGTTTTAGAACATTTTTCATCAGATTCAGCATGTTGAAATATCTAAAACCACCTGTAAATACGTGGGAGATAATTGGCTGTTACAGGTGTTAGTAATGAGAATTAAATATTGAATGACAATATCTTGAGATTATTTCAGAGTGACTGAAACAATTATATATTTGCACTACAATGTTTGTTCAAAGAATATACATTCTATATAAAGGCAAAATATTATGCTACAATACATCAGTGATTATTAAACTTTTTATAGAGAGACTCGGATTTCATAAATGGCATTAGACTGGCAACCCATTCTTCAGTTATAATATTATCCTATCCCAGCAGCACCCTATTTGTGCATGTTCAGGTGAGTGCAGCCAGCCCCCTGGTTTCATTTATTTATATATATATATATATATATATATATATATATATAATGCAGCGCACTCGCTTATTTACTAAACAATGATTTCAAATCTTAGAGATTGTAATAGTTTTCTTTAAAAACACCTCACCTAGGCAAAAAATAATGGAGGTTTAGTTACATTATATATATTACATAAGCCTGCCACACCGTCAATGTACCCCATTCTTGGCAGGTCCTACACTAGCAGCCTAATGCTTGCTCTTCTGAGATTAATCCACTTACTTGGGAAATACTTCCTTACTGGGACTCTCTGCAAGTCAAGGCTAAATAGGGTCCTGGAAAAAAAGATGGGGTACATTGACATTGTGGCAGGCTTATGCAATGTATGATCATATAATGTAACTAAACCCCCATTATATTTTGCCTAGAGTTGGTGATTTTTAAAAACTAACAAAATCTGTCACCACCGAAGTTGCTGTTTAGTGGGTAAAGAAGTGTGCTGGATTTTATTATTTCTTCTTCTCTTTTTTATAATATTATCCTATGACGCAGTCTTCAAATGTATGATAAATAAAGTCTGCAAAACACAGCCAGTAAACTCTCCCCAGTATCTAAATAGAAATTAGAAAGGAAAGGCAGCCACAGTACATAGCGTATTATAAGCAGTTGTCTGAGGTCAGATGAATACAGAGAGAGATTTATCAGTGTCGCTAACACTTTTATGTCTAGATTTATTAATTCTAGTTATATTTTTCATCTGTTGCCTTTTTTAAATCCAAACTATTATTTTTCAATGCATGCCATTTTTTTCGGCAATGCAATGGATTTATCAATTGTTTTGCCACTACGGTTCTGTTTCACTTCTCTTTTTTCTGCCACTCTAAATGTAGTGGTCTACCAAAATGGAGATTATGTTGAAAAATAGCTGAATTTACTATGAAGAAAACCATCACTTTTTAGATCAGTTTTAGAACACTATATTTTGAACACTATATATATATATATATTGATCATATTTAAATATATGATCAAAATAAAGACAGAATTTAACTATAACATTTCAGAACACTTTGATAAATATTTGTCTGTTTCAACAAGTGGCATCCACTAAAAATATCAATTTAAGGTTACAACACAGAGGTTAAGACTCACTGAATATAAAAAAAAAATGACATTTACTGTCATCAGTATCAGTTAAATTAATTTTTGCACACAAACATGCATCTAGTATAGTGTAGTCAAAAGCAATAACAATACATTTTTTCAACACAATCATAAGGCCACTACAATGACAGGATTTAAAAAAAGGGGGAGCAACAACTGCAGGTATACTCTTCCCCTACTACTACAATTATGCAGAGCAAGGGGGATGTTGAAGATAGTAATAACTACAAATCGAAGAAACCCACAGCAAAACATTTCATGCAGAACTATTTATTCAATTAGATACAATATATAATGTCATAAGTATACAATCAAAAGTGCAATAAAAATAAAGTGCAAAGTATTCACAGCTTAATCCACATAAAGTGCAACAAAGTTACCTTCAGAAACGATGTACTGACTTAGGGCTGGAGACAAAAATACCCCAGATGTATACCCCAAAGGGTTATTTTTATCTCCAGCACTAGGTCAGGAACCTAACAGTTCACCTTACAAATATAATTATCCATAAGGTGATTAGTACAAAGATTTCACTTCGAACTATGAAATGTTCCACATTGTTTGAAATTAACACTTTATTTGTTTATATTAATCGCCTTGTTGAAAATTATATTTGTAGGGGAAATACTTTCTTTCTTACCTTCCCACTAAGCCACATTACTTTCAATTTGTTTCTTTTATATTTATTACCCAATGGTACATACTGAGATGTGAACATTTCTAACATTTATCCTCAATGTTTTTTTCACTAAAGAGTTTATGCCAGTCAATGAGTTGTAAAACTGCCCTAATATTGTTTAATTTAGATTTTATCTTCTGCTCTGTTAATAGTCCTGCAAGAGCCCATACAAGTCTCCCATGTGTAATCAAAGTCAAATTAACAGAGGAGTAGCTAAACACAAGATATATACACTGAAACTACTACATTAAGCTAGTGTTGGTGCTTAGAGTAATCCTTTAATTATCCTGGACACTTTTGTGTGAATGTTCTCTCTGTTGCTTTACATATGTGTGCTACCCTGATACTTTTCTCTTAAAATGATTTAGCACTGAATCTGTTGACCATCAATTGACAGTCTGTCCATTGGACCATCTAGCTATCTGTCTAAGCACAGTGTAAAACATATTTCACTGTCAGCAATCTAAGACTGTATTCTCTGCACAGTGTAAGACATCATTTACTATCAGTAATCCAGCTCGCATACATACTGTTTCTACCTGAATGATAGCTATTTTCCAAAGATTTCACTCTGGCTCTAAAATTTCATAGTATGTACCTATAAGTAAAAAGTATAATTCCATCTTCAATTATAGATATTCCTTCATAAATCTTTACTCATAAAACTGTATTCACTTTGCCCCTTGCACATAGTATTCAACCAGAATTCCTTACACAAGACATACCAGTTATTGTTAAAGACCTTTCCCTTATGTTGTGGGATGGGTGGTTGACAATTAACAGTAGCCTGGGGACAATATATTATAAATATTACAGGGGGTAAAATAAGTAGCTGGGTTGCTTTTAGTGAGCCTGTTACAATTCCACAATATATAAATAATATTGATATCCCTCCCACAAAGGCTTAAATAATTGTGAACATGGAGGAGATGTCACCCTAAACTTAGTAAGTACCCTAACCCGTAGCTAAACATAATGTTATGTACATACTACCTAAACCAGTAGTTCCCAACCTTTTTTCACTTGAGTACCCCTTGGCAGCCCATTTTAATCTATTTTACCCCTCATATTTGTAAAATATTAGTAATTATCATCGTTGCTGTTATTTCAAATGTATATGTTTTTTCTCTGCCTCATCTCCCCCTTTTCTCTGTTTCAGGATCCCCTGCTCTTCCTCTGCCCCAGGCTCCACACAGTGCAGATACACACATGTGGATACATAGACACACTGATATACATGCAGATACAAAGACTGACACACATGCAGATACACAGACTGACACACATGAAGATATACAGATATAAACTATGAAACACATATAAAAAACACTGACATACATACAGATACAGAAACAAAAAAATCACACAAAGACACAGATATAAACACTGACACAAACACGAACACTGATACACATGTAGATGCACAGACACACAGATACAAACATTAACACACAGTTGCACAGACACACTGATACACCCACTGACATACATACAAGTGTACAGACACACAGACATAAACAATGACACTCTTACAGATACATAATACAGATACACACACTAATACACATGCAGATACATAGACACAAATATACAAGCACTGATACACATGCAAATGAAGCAACACACACACACACACATTTATACATGCATACAGTTTCACAGACACAGTAACACACACGCATATATAGAGAAAGCACTGACACATACAGATACAGAGACACAGATACACAGATACACAGACTGACACACAAATGCACACACTGGCACACATATATATGTACAGACACAAACACTGCCACATATGCAGAAACCAGAGACACACTGATACACATACTGGCATACATGTAGACACACAGATACACATACAGTTGCACAGACACACTGATACACATACGATCATACATACAGATACATAGATACACACACTGCCATACATACAGTTGCAAGGACATACTGATACACACACTAACACATATACAAATGTACAGACACATAGGTACAAACACTACCACACATGCAGATGCACAGATGGCAACACTGACATACATACAGTTGAAAAGACACACTGATTAACACACTGACACACATGTAGATACACAGATACAACACTGCCACACATACAGACACACAGATACACATACAGATATACACACACTGACACACATGCCGATACATAGACACACAGATACAATCACTGACACATACAGATACAAATACAGATTCACATGAAGAAACACAGATATACACACTGACAAACACTCAGAGATATACACACACATACACATACACAGAGATACAGGTACACTAACACACACAGATACACAGACATACAGACACACACACATATACAAAGACATACACATACACTGACACACACACACAGAGATACACTGACACACACACAGATACACAGATATACAGATATGTGTATCTGGAATTATACACATAAATATGAAATTATACTTTTTACTTATATGTACATACTATAAGATTTTAAAGCCAGAGAGTAGCATTGGACTGAAATCTTTGGGGAAAAAAACATAATTCAGATAGAAACAAGCTGGATTACTGACAGTGAATGAGGTCTTGCACTGTGCAGAGAAAACGGTCTTAGATTGCTGACAGTGAAAGATGTTTTACATTGTGCTTGGACCGATGGCTAGATGGCCCAATGGACAGACTGACAAAATAGAAATCTCAGAAAAAAGTATTTTTTTTGCATAGTGTCAATTGCTGGTGAAGAGTTTCAGTGCTAAAT